TTTTCATTTCAAGTGTCAGAAAAGTTATTCCGGCATCCTCTCTTATTTTCATTTCACATGTACCACAAAGGTTTGTTCTTTTTTGGTTATAGAACCAAACCAATTTGGTTTTTTCTTCTAATCAGAGTAATTATATCAGCCTTCATGCCTAGATTTTTTTTCTTTATGGCCTTTTATTGAGACACCATCTACTAGGAAGCTTGCCAACAAGACTCTAGACCAATGGGGATTTACTAAATTATTAAAATTTCTCTGAAGGTTAACCATAGGAGATGAAATCTAATGACTATTAATATTAAAATTAAATCTCATGAATTCAAGTCCAAGAATAAAGATAAAATTAATTAAGATTTAAAGTACATATGAAAGTTTTTTGAAAGGATTTTTGTATCTGATAATTCTTCTATATAATAAATGCAAATATCAGTGTGTCACACTTTTTCAATTTTACTTCTAGAAGTCATAGCCCAACATATCACCATTTTGGAATCAGATTGACTCTGTGAGCAAATTAAAGACATTCCTGGCTAGATCCGGACTCACAATCCGGAAATTTGGGATCCTCAAATTTTCATTACTATGATTGTTTTTGGCAATTATTTTACATTTTTTTTTTTTTTTTTTTTGTACGATAATATTTATAACTTGGAAATAAATTTGGGACTGACACAGATTAATAATGAAATCCAGCAAAAGACACCCATGAAGTAAAAATAAATGTTTGTATGGAAAATAAGGACCTACATACATTAAATTGTCTTTAAATTAAGTCATGGTAGAAAAATTATCATTGAACTTTTAAAAGGTAAGCTTAAATATTAATGCAATTTTTAAATGCAGCAATCAAATTTGAGTTCTGTAGTTTATTGTTGCCTGTCGTACCTACTCCTCCCTATCTATTGCAGTGAAGGCCCAATCAAAAGCCCTCCACAGAAGCTAGATTAAATGCTGCCTGATAGGGTGGTTTTTAAGCTAGTACATATATATAAATCCCTAATATATATTTTAAGCTAGTATTACTATAAATGTTATGGTTAGTGCATACATGTGTTTGATCTTTCTAATAAAGATTATAAATCCATAATAATATAAATAAATATAAATAAAAAAAAATAGTTTAAGAATAAATGGATAAATAAAAATAATCAACACTTCCATTTTAGAAAAACAAAAAAAAAATTCAGCATTTTTTTTCTTGGAACAATATAAAACAACCATGGCTGGTAATAAAGTCACAGGAAAAAAAAGTCACTATTTTGGATTGGGGGAGGGGAGGAGTCACTATTTTGGATAGTAGGGAAAGTCGCTATTTTGGATAGGGGGAAAAAAGTTGACATGATTTTTGTGGGGGAGTCGCTATTTTGGATGGGCGGAAAGTCACTATTTTGGATTAGGGGAAAGTCACTATTTTGGATTGGGAAAAAAGTTACTATTTGGTTTTGTGAATGTGATGTTTGATATACATGAACATATTGTAGCAGATTTTTGAAGCATGCTTATTACTGTCTATAATTTCCATGACAGGAAACTTAGTGGAGATACGAAATTTCCACTATTCATACTGTCTTCAGGGTTAGAGATAGGAATACTGATACACTTTAGAGAACAAGTTTATATTCTGTACATAGACAGAACATGTGACCTCAAGTCAAACACCTGCTCAAAAAATATCTTACCAGATTGGACAACCTGTGGTCACAGAGACTTTCAGCTGATTCCAGGTTGATGTTGCCCCAATTATAATATTTGTCCTATTTTACAATTCTTAATTAAAAAAAATTCATTAATTTATCATCAGTTCTGCATATTCTTTTACTGAGACTGACTGACATATTAACATAAAAAAAGACCGAGAATTCGATAGATAACCTTTCTATTAAAGAAAGAAGCAGAAACATTGTCCTGTGACTTTTATAGCTAGAATCAAAATAAAACATCCAGTCACTACGGCATCCAGTGTTTTGGCCTTTATTCTGATTCTGTCTAATATACTTCCAGACATGGCATGGAGGCAGGCAGTTGTCAAAGACTCAGAACTTTACTATGTATTAATCTCTTTTTCTACCAGCACTTAATTTTCTTTTAAATACTGTCACATCCCTTCAAGTTGAAGGCAATCGTGACTCTCCCCAAATTCTCTTTTCTTTATTATCTGTGAGAAAAATATTGCAGTTTCTCTCCAGTTGCTTTCTCCACAGTTTGCAATTTAGATTTTTTCCTTTTATTAGACTGCTTGCTATCCAGGGCTAGAGATTACCCTAGCTAGAGGAAGAGAGGGTTTCATGCCTTTCCCCAAAAGTGTGTGTGCGAAAGTGAATGCATACTAGCACAAAGTTTGAATTTGGCTTGCTGATTTCACTTTCTATACCAATTGTCATTAGATCACTCAGCTTCACAAGTATAGGAAGAGCCCACATTGAAAGATCAAAAAGCAACATTGTTGTGAATGCATATATTGGGCTCCATGGTAGAACCCATTACAAAGAACAGGTGAGACAGGCTAATCCAACAACAACAAAGCATTAGTTTCTATTAAATGGTGGTCATGAGTCCAGTTCATGTGCTGGGCAATACATAAGTATATAGATCAATAACAATCACATCCTCAACCATAACTACTACAGAAAAAAAAAGATAAAGGCTAGAAACACTAAAGTTCAATTCACATCACTATGTTAGGGAAGACAATTTGTCTTGCCAGAATCTATTTTGCACCAGTAAAAGTTTACCATTCATCCGTGCATTGAATATTGCTGCCACATCTGGCCTGTTTCTTCTGCTATGTATCTAGAAATCCTTGACAAAATGCAAAGAAGAATCTGTAATGTTATTGGTCCTAGCATCTCAGCTTCAGTCACTTAAAAAACATACCTTTTACCATGAAAGTATAAAATTATGTACAAAATAAAAATCCTGAAAATGAGATAATGACTCATTAGGTTATATTGCTTGAACTTTCAGATTTTTAACCTTTGTTTTCTCTCTTTAGTTATAATTTAAAGTTTTAATACATACTTGGAAATTTTAAGGAAAAATGCAAACAGAAAGGATACATACTTCAATAAGAAAGAGACAGTTAAAATTTCTAGAGCACATAATGAGGAAAGAGGGCTTGGAAAATTTGACACTCACAGGACATAATGAAGGCAAGAAAGAGGAAAACAGCATATAAGCTACCTAACAAGCTTGTGTGTATGAGTGGTAGAACAGGGTTTAGGAAAGATAGGAAAAGACAAAATTTACTAAAAACTACGAAGGACAGAAAATTGTGGAGAGTCATGATCACCAATCGTCCTTTCTTCTCAAGATAAATAATATTTAAACAAGATAAACCAATGAGCTAACTGACCAAGGCACACCTTCCTATGTTTTACTTACCCACTTTAATTTCACTTACTCTCTTACACATTCAAAGATATAGTTTGTTAAATTTAAATATTAATAAAAAATCAAATCTTGTTTGTTGGTTAAAATTTAGTAGGAAAGAAGGTTTAGAAAATTTGATACTCACAAGAGATAGTGGAAAGAGGTTCAGACAGAAACATAGTAACCTAGCTAATGAACTTGTGTAAATGGATGACGAAATGGGAAGGATAGTAAAAAGACAAATGTTGCTAAGAGCTATAAAATGATAGGAAGTAGTGGAGAGCCATGATCAACCTACTTAACAAGCAGGTGTAAATGAATGGCAGAACATGAAAGGAAAGGGATAGTAAAAAGACAAACATTGCTAAGAGCTACAAAGGATAGGAAGTAGTGGAGAACCATGATCAACATACCTAACAAGCTTATGTAAATAGATAGAACATTGAATGGAAGGGGTAGCAAAAAGATAAATGTTGCTAAGAGCTACAAAGGATAGGAACTTGTGGAGAGCCATTATCGTCCACATTGTGAAGGAACATAGCACCAAGTACTTAGATTATAGTGTGTTAATTGGTATATGTTGATAAAACTAGAGTTTAACAATTTATATTATGAACAGGTAATACACTTTGATCTCTGTGAAAAGTAAATAAAAAAGAATGAATAAATTTATCTAACATCCGGTTCACACTCCTCCTCCCTCTTTTGAACAGGAGAAGAAGTGTGCCTTCTGTTTCCTGTTCAAGATTGATTTTCTGGTTCCTGCTAAAGTCTATTCTATAATTCTAACATCTCCAACTAAACTGAAATTTTATTTACTGTTTATTTTTTTTATATGTTTTTCCTTCAATAGGAGTAAATACGTTTGGCTGTTGTCCAGTTCACACTTCTCCCCGGTATTTTGAATAGCAGAGCTTTATCCTTTGTTTCCTGTTTAAGATTGTGTTTCCAGTTCCTTCTAAAATCTTCTCTTTCACTTCCAGTATCCCTTTGCGTCTTAGTGGCATTATTGCCTTCCTTGAGATGAATTAATTAAAAAAAAAAAAAAAATATTACTTATATACATCTGAGCTGGAGCTGTCCATGTGTTGCGTGTATTCTCTGCCAAAAGTAAAACTCTGAGCCGTTTCAATAAAGGAATCGTCTGGGTATGCAATTTTGTTTTCTGATAAATGGTAAGCATCTTGGAAACCTACAGAGTGACTTGGGGGGAAACATTTCTGAATGCTTGTGTGTATTAGTGACCATTGGTGTGCTGGTGACCTTTTGCTGACAGTTGGTATGCTGGTGACTGTTGATGTATTGGTATCAACTTGGCAACTATTAGTTTTGACCGTCAGTGACCTAGCACAAATCCTTCCATTAAAACTTCCAAGTAAAAAAATTAGGGGTGAACTTTCTATAGGTGTGGTCATTCCAAGATTTTTGCTTGTGGTTGGATGTAGTTTAAATTAAGATTTCAAACCAAACCTTGAAAATAAATCCAAGGGACATAACTATTATTTTGTTTAACCTAAGTTTCTCATCTTTGTATTTTTTTCCAAAATGTTTCAGACATATTTCCAATCTGTTGTGAAATAAAGAGTAAAAATCTTTAATTACAGAAGGATTGTATCTAAACAGCTGGGCTTATGACCATATCACATGTGACCACTGCAGTTAAGCAACATCTAGCCTGGTCAGTACCTAGATGAGTGACCATTTGGGAATACCAGGTGCTGTAAGCTTAGATGTGTGGGTGGTGTAATGGATAATGGTTCAGGACTGTGAATTGGAGAGTCATGTTCCAATTTCAGTTGGATTTGTTATATTCACTTATATGCAAACACCCCTGGGAAAGGGCATCAATCCACTTCTTATTCCCCTAGCTATGGGTTAATTAGTAAGACTTGTAACACTAATCAATATTATCCCCCCTGACAAAATTCTTACAATCTAAAAATATTTTCTGGCTTTAAATAACTTGAAAAGTGTTGATAAGCCATAAAAAACAAATCATTATAAACATTAGTGATGTAATGAAATAACCTGTCACCCCCATGAGTGACTATACTATAGGTAGTAACTACCTATAAGCAGCTGTAAGTTAACTGACTACAGAGTCTAACTGGGATCTGTTGAGTACAACTCAGACTTATGTGAGAACTACCGACCTTCCAATAGTAGCACTCCGTACTGGATTGACTTGCGACAACCTTGTGCATAACTGTTACCTTTATTCTTATTGTACTGGTTTTTTACATTAAACCTTTACTTATTTTATCCACCATGTTTGTCAAGTATATATTCCTATTGGCATAGAAATATAACAATTAGCTAACCAGAGAATTCAACATTGTCAAAACTAGCCAAAACTATTTTATCATCATTGTCGTTCATTGTTTTATCAGCAAATAAATATAATAGGTATTTTTTCTAGTTCTTTGTATTGTTCAGTTCTACATTTTTTAACAGATATACTCAAGATAGATTTCTGAGGTGAAAATACAAATCATACAAATGCTTTCACTTTAACCAATAAGGAACTATCAGGTTTTAATGCCCATCATCTTCATCCATCCCATAAATGGGTGTGGTCACTGTGGGGTCACTGTGCAACCGAGCACCTGGTCAGTTCCCTCTATATATTTAGGTTGAGAGCCAGAGAGTTTTTTTTTATTCATTCACACATGTCTTGGGCAAGTAGATCTGGCAGAGCTCATCCCTCCCCTCCAGGTTAAACCACAACTAATGTGCACCAATTCGCCTTGGGTCATGGACATGAAGACATTCATCCAGCTATTAATCTTATTCTCTGGGTAGCATACAGCCTCCACATACCATCAGGCCTGCACCCTGGGGAGGTCACTCCAGTCTGACCCCCAAAAAACTGAATTTTTACTAAATAGGGCACTCCCTTTTTCTAATGAGATAAATGGATGCCTACTATTGCTACTACTAATCCCATCCTTATTTGACTGTAGCCAGGATCATCATGCCAATGCGAACAATCCTTTCCTTAGCAGTGTAGTAGGGCTACATACAGTTTTGAATTTAGAGTTAATTTCTACTAGACCAGTTGCCACCCAAGGCTATAGAACCCAGTCCTGATATTTACCTATAGCTGGGGGTAGAAGAAGAGGATTATATACCTTTCTCAAGTGTAGGTAAATGTAATGGATCCGACTGGAATTTGAACTTGGATCTCCGATTTTTCAATCCGAGCTGCTATGCATTATTTCAACGTCCCTCCTCCCTAATCAAATGCATGCATACAAATGTGCAGACATTGCTTAAATTGTGTTCAATGGTGATGATATCTGGTAGAGGCCATGGGGATCTCTTGCTGGCTATATGTCAAGATTCCTCCCTGTTTTTCTGTTTAAGTTCAACAGAATGGTTAAAACAATACAGTTTGATAATGGTTTGTTTTGTTTTCAGCATATTAACCTGAATGGGTTATTTAATGCCGACAAGATTTTTAATGCTGGTAATATTTTTTTCAAAAATGTATTGCTGGTATTAAAACCTATTTTTACATATTTTGACCCCAGTTTGGGGATTAACTATTTGCCCATAGCTTGGACCCTAACAGGTGCTACCACCCCAGGTCAGGGTGGACCTGCAACCAACAGCAATTAAGAGGTGGTTCCACGCTCCTCAAAACCTGATCAGAGACCTTGCTGTTGGATGTAGTTTATCATCTTACCCAGGATGTGGATGTAGTTTATAGTCATAACCAGGACAGAGTTTGATAATAGTGCAGCAGAAGGAAAAGGTGTGAAGCAAGATGCCATTCAACCACCTTACAGTTTACTCTTTAACTTTCTCTTTATCTAAAGTTAACCACAAGACAGTAGAGGATTCTAAGTGTAATGGTCAGGGAAGTATCCACTAAGGAGCCAGACAGCTTCTTCCCAAGAGGCTTCTGCTGCTTTGGGGGACAGACATCCAAGAGGATGCTTCCCAAAATTGCCTACTTCCTAAACAGACATGTCTTGTTTTGGTTGTCAGCCAGTCTCTTGTTTTCCTTCTCTGAGAATGGCTGCCAGAAAAGGCAAATCAGCAATGTCTCTTTAAGATGTAGGTGATCACAGTTCCAGAGAATCCTTTTTTTTATTATCTGTAAATTGTTTTTATAGCCAAGTGGTTTCCCATTGCCTTCTGCAGGGTTTCGGAATTCAGAGTAGTTTTTCTCTTAGACTGGCTGCCATCCAAAACTAGGGAACCCAGTCTAACTTGATATTTAATCCCTAGTGGAAGTGGGGGGGGAAAGAAATGGATTAATTTCTTTTCCAAGGGCATTAGTACAAAAGTGATTGCAACAGACTAGACCAGAATTTGAACTATGCATGTCAATTTCACTGTATGCCAATATTATGTTTGTCCCATACATATATACTCACTCATTCATTTGACTCCTGTAGACTGCCCTGAGGAATATAGGGTGACATGCTCAGTGTTGCTGTGGTTTTTGTAAGGTATTTTTTCTATTTATGGGATCAAAGTTGTTAGCACCCTGCCCAACCAGTTTTAAATTCAGTGCTTTCCTTCTAGGCTGATTGCCAAACAAGGTTAAAAAAAAAAAAAAAAAAAAAAAGGAAGTCTACCTGAATATTTAACCCATAGCTGAGTATTTGCACAAAAATGAATGTAATCACCTTTAGTGGAATTCAAACTTGTCTTGCAAATTTCTCATTCTGAGCCATTAAACATGTGCACATTATACACAAATTTAATCAGACACCTGCACATACAAACAATACACACACTAAAAAATAAAAAAAAATAATTTCATCACAAGCACGGTAATAAAGCCACTAAGACACAAGAGAGATTACTGAGAGGGAAAGAGTCTGAGAATACTAACATTAAGGAAAGAGGATAATAAAAGAACAAGATTCAAAGAGACAGAAGACTACAATTGACCTTGATCTTCAGAAATCAAAGTGTAAAGTTGACTGGAAAGCAAGAAATTGGAAGAGTGTTCCACAAGCAAGAAGCATGCATGAAGAAACTGTTAGCATAGAACTTATATTTGTAAAGTTCAGGAACCAAAGAGGAAAGCTCATCAGAACAATTACCATGAAAATATTTATAGAAAAGGCACAAGCATTGTGGTAGTGGGAAAGTGTCCAAAGTTGAGATGCTAGGTTAGTACTAATAACATTGCAGATTCATATTTCTCTCTTTCAGATTCGTGAATTTATTTTTATACCCAGTAAATTCCTTCTGCTACTTTTCAACCACCCATAAGTTAAAATTGTTGTTTTGGCATTACACTTTCTCTGTGATTTCATTTTCTCTGCCAAGAACCATTATCCTAGCCACACCCCCCGGTATATATATATATATATATATATATATATATATATATATATATATATATCTCAATTGCTAGGTCTGCTGTTAGGAAAGTTGCTTCATCATGTCATGCCAGACAATTCTTCTTGCCTGAATCTCTTGCACACATACACTGCGTGCCAAATTATTATCGAGATAACTTTTTTTTGTAATATTTCAAAAATCGTCCAATCAATTCACACAAAATTTTCACCCAATGTTGGCAACACTGATCTGCGTAATCACTGAAATTTTTGTACTGATCTGCGCAATGTAAACAAACTGGTGCCATATTTGTTAACTGCACAGTGATTTGAGTGTGCCAAATTATTAGAAAAGTCTAAGAATTTAGTAAAATGATGGGCCATAAAAGCAGTTTAAGTGATGCTGAAAAGAAAATTATTACCTCAAAACTTTCAAAAGGTAAATCTACCCTAGAAATTTTTAAAATGATAGGGAAGTGTCATCAAACAGTGAAAAATTCACCGCCGACCCTACACAAGTACGCAAAAGGGCATATAAAGTCAAGTCGACGGTTATTTCACATTGTCTCATGTCACGACTTAAACGAGAGGCCACGAATAACCCTGAACTTACCAATCAAGAGCTTTTCAGTCGCATTGGGGATCCTACTGTGTCTACTTGGTGTCAGTATCTGAGGGAAATAGCAACAACAGTTAAACCTGTATCAAAGCCTCCGTTGACGAGAAATCACATTCAAAATCGATGGAAATGGGCTGAGGGCAATATGAAGATTGACTTCTCTAAAGTTTTGTTCACAGACAAAACTCGAGCAACACTTGATGGGCCAGATAGATGGTGCAAAGGCTGTGTAATGAACCAACAGAATCGCCATCAGCATTTGAGACGCCAACAAGGTGATGGAGGCATAATGATCTGGGGTGGTATTATTGGAAAAACATTAGTGGGCCCATGGAGAGTACCAGATGGCATCAAAATGACTGCTGATGCATACATAGCATTTATGAAGGAGCATCTTGAACCATGGATGAAAAGGCAAAGAGTTGCCTTCAGAAGGGCCATTGATTTTATGCAAGATAATGATCCCTCACATGCTGCTCACAAGACTACTGAATATTTGAAACAGTTAGGCTTCGATGGACCTCAAAAAATGAAGTGGCCAGCAAACTGTTTGGATTTGAACCCAATCGAAAACCTTTGGAGCATCATGAAGTGAAGACTGTACGCCAACGGACGACAATTCAGGAGCAATGCAGAGTTATGGGAAGCAATTCTTGACATATCTCATGGCATCACAGCAAATGACATCCTACAATTAACAAATTCTATGGATCGTTGATTTCTTCAAGTAATTTCAAAACAGAGAAAGCACATTCCCTATTAATTAGTTTAAAACTGTGCCCTTGTTTGTATCTGTTATT